AGCTGCTATTTTTAATATGTTGCCCCACAGCTTACCCTTCTCTTGGCTGCTACTCTGCAAACTAAAAAATCTCATGCTTTGCAACATCCAAGAAAAAGATGCTGATGGTTGGTTTCAGTTAATCATGATTAATTGTGATCAATTGTCAGCTACCTTGTAGTTAATCCTTTAGTCTTGTGACAGCCGTGATAAAATATTACATAGAATACTCCTAAACTGTTGTCTACACAAAACAACTGCAAAAATAAGAAAAAATAGGAACATTTTTAATAAATGAAATAGTAAGAACTTTATGGTAAAATTAAAATTGTGATAAACGCTTTTTTAAATACTAATTATTGAGACTTGTTTTGAATAGGTCCTAACTCAACAAAATACATCTGTTTAATAAATATTGATTTGAGTTAATTTGTTATTGACCCACAAATAGATACTGTTTTATTAATTTGAAAGCCAGTAATTAGAGAGTTAGACATTTTATTTTAACATTTTATTCCAGAGGCAAATTACTTATTCACTACAAATATTTCTGGATTTTCCCAAGGCAGTGTAATGAGGCTTACATCCTGACCAGCCTTTTCCTTCTGTTGACAGTACTCACCATCCTGTAGCTAATGTAAGATCACTTAGATAGTGTCACAGGAATAAACTCTAGTAAACGGTGACCTGAGTGACTTATGAAAGTCATAGAAGTTGAAATGTTATAATTTTGTGGTACCAGTAGTAGTTGAAATGATGGGAGGCAAAAAAGTGAACAAAAGCGTAATTAACAACTGTACAATTTTGTTCTGTGTTGTTTCCATTTGTTTTGTAGCTCTAAAAAGGATGTGTTGATTAAACTGCTAGCCGACCGTTGTGGTGGTAAATGTTAAAGGATCACAGGTTGACCCTCTTACGCTGTGAAACACAATGCTGAACATAAATGGAGCTTTAAAAAAATATCAAGTGAAGATCAGTAGAAGCATAATTACATCTACTTCACCTTCTGCTCGCTGTTTCAACATGTAGTGGAGCAGCGTCAGCCATTAGCATCAGGAGTGCGATGGTAGCAATAAGCATTGTTGTAGTGACACTTATAATCATTTACAATTATTTTGTACAAACACATCCATTTTAAATGTAAAGAATTATACAGGATGATAAAGTGTCGTAGTTCATGAATCTGTTTGTCTGTTGGTTACGGCACCCTGTACTTCATCTGCCTGTAAAAAACATTTAGGTTATTATTGTTTACTTTTACATTTAATTTACTATTGTTGAACCTATATTTAATCAATAATCTCATAAAAAAACAAGACCAAAGAAGAATACAATAAAATAAATGAAATCAGATTTTATTTTTATAAGAAAAAAACAAAAATATTTTGTCCATTTCAAATCATTTTATTCAAATCATTATTTTACTGCAGTGTTCTGTCACATGGCTTTCTTTACTCATAATATCAAGATTGTGCTGCTACATGCTAATTACGTTTGCTGAAAGCTGAACAATGCCACTGTGAATGTTTTAATCTATATTTCTATTCCATATCCCGTACCCTATTCTTCACTATTCCCATTCAAAATGTTGATAAATGTCAGGTTGCTGTATTAAAATCCCTGTTTTGTTTTACCTCCTATTCTGTATGGAGCCATGTTAGTGTTTCACATCTGTGTCTTTGGAACGAGAGCACAGTTAAAATCGCAGCATTTGATGTTGTCAGTCATGGCATGAATCATGATGTGGGTCACTGTGATGAATGTATCACTTTGGATGTGCTGAAAAGAGGACGCTGAGGACGAATGACTTCATCTGCTTTGGTTTGACAAGTGTGAAAAAGGCTAGTTATGAAATTTTAGTTTGTAGATCTGTTAAAAAAAAATCAGACCACTGGGGTTCTGTAACATTATGGTGTGTGGCAGCCCAGTCAAAGTCACCTTGAATTCTTTTGGAATTAATTAAAGACAGTAGAACACGATTCCTACCAAATAACAACGGCTGCTGAATTTAAACGAGCTGTTGTTGGCTGTACAATGGAGATAATTAACATTCAATTGCATTATCAGCTGCCTAATTCTGCTATTGTTTTTGGGGCAAATTATTTTTATTCAAATGTGTCCTCCCACAGAATTATTTGCAGTTTCAACAGCAGCATTAACACACACACACACACACACACAGTGGAAACTTCATTTTATCAGTATCTACGATTTCATTTTTTTCTTTGTTGAATAATATGTCCCTGTATGTACGATTTCATTTTTTCTTTGTTGAATAATATGTCCCTTTTTTTTTTCAAAAAATTTTCACTATTTGTTCTGTTGCTCATGTAAAAATGTTTAAGTAAATGAGAAGTAGACTTAAATTAAAAAGATATTTTGAACAAAGAGATGTTTACTAAACTGTTTAATAGCCAATGAGATTAGCCACAGAGGTGGATGGAGACGTATTGATTAGGAGAGTTGACACTGATGTGTGGTATCAGTACTGACCTTTATGTTTCATGTGCTGGCAACCAGCAACTATAAGGGACAGTTTTAGTTTTGTCTGCCTTGTAGCCCAGTGGTTTTCCTACATGCTATTCTCCGTGGAGACCATGGAAGACTTTTGGGGCTTTGTGTTACGGCCCAGTAGCTGCTTGGCTGCTCAGCCATGATTAATTCAGGCAGGTCTTTGGGGAGAACAGCACGGCTTGGTTACCCTGCCAGGGATCTGGTGTCGAGCTGCCATTAAGTCAGTGTCTTTATGTGAGCTTTAGCTGTAGAGCTTCCATTCGCTGTACCTGAGGCTAACGCTGTTAGCCCTGTATACCTGCTTCTACAATAGGGCAATAAAGATGAGAGGGTTGAACAATTTGAGAAATTGAAATATATTGCCGACTGTGACTTGCACCAGTGGACGTAGACGTAGAGCAACCCAGTTGCTGGGTAGTGTTGTTGTTTTTACCTGCAGCTGGGCCACGGGTTGATTTTCTCGTCCAAAATTAGCCCTTGCCGCCAGGTGTTTGTCACTGTGTGTGTAGCACTCCCTACTTCAGATTGTGTGCATCCTCGCATTCGCTTGGGCCTCTTGGTCAACTGACTGATGGATGATAGAACGTCAGACTCATTAGTGCCACAAAGTTGCACCCAACATCCATTATTGGCAGACCCCGCTGACATCCACTCCCTCTGCAGGCAGGAGTGTGATTTATCAGTGACTTGCCTTGATAAGGAAAGGAAAGGAGACTGGTCTGTTGCTAGGGGACATTACCTGCATGTGTGATATCAGGAGAGCTGTTACTTCAACACTGGCTTATTGTTCTAACAAGTGGTGACTTTGTCGTTTCATCTGTGTCCTGATGTCGGTGCTGGGGCTCCGAATGACAACGTATACCTTACATGTACAGTGAAGTGAAATTATGGTCCGTATTAAGACAGTGCCTGTGCCGTGAGAAATCGTAGAAAATTATTCAGTTTCACGTTGATGTTCCAAGGGTTCTTTTTTTGTTGTCTTCATTCGTCAATGCCACAGTAACAGTGAGAATGATTAAAAACTATTCCAATAGATGGTAGTAGATAGCTATAGCTATAAAAAGCACTCTACTAATCTGCTTGTATCACCCACCATTTAAAAACGAATTTGTATATATATGTTAGGCAAATTTCTATGGTACAATGAATATGTTAAGGTTGGTAAGTTATGAAAAAGTAATCTTTTAAGTCTTGACTTAGACTTGACATTTGTATCTGTTTTTAACTGAAGCCTCAGGCATCAGAAGCCGACAACCTTTCCAGACAGATGGCATCATTTCTCTGATGTCCCTAAGTGACATGAAAGGATGGTTATATTTATGGGATGAGGTGAAAGGCAAAAATCCATGAGGTTTGTGTCAGTGTTAATGTCACCTTATCCCCTGTCTGTTGGAGCTGCGGTCTGCTCTAATCCATCCCTCCATCTTTTAGTCAACACACACATACAAACACACACACCTGTAGGCCGAGCTAATGCTTCACTTATCAACCTAATAGGACCTGTCTGAGTTTTCTGGACCTGGTCCTGTTGTTTGGGTCTAATGACTGCTGTGCTACTGGCATGGTTCATTTGACATCACTGTTGTTATTTTTCTTATCTTTTTCTATGAAGCAGGGTCCAGTACTAAAGTGTCATAGCACCAAAAACAAAGTGATAAATTATCACTCATTTATGGCTCATACTATTTACTGTCAACAAATGAAGAACATTCCTGTGTTTCTGTGTCATTGACCCTGAAACATACACAGTGGAATAAATTGTTGGTTAGGAGATTAAGATTTAGATTCAGGGTTATATCCCTCACATGTGTCACTGTATGAATTCTTGTAATAATTTTATTTTTTTTAAAAAAGTGGTCTGTGTCAGCTGTTTTTGACAATTGAACCTCCCCTCACTGTATCCGACTATCTCCGTAGTTTTACTGTCACTTGTTTTTTTTTTTCTCTATATCTTAATTTTAATTAATGGAATAATGATGACTCAGCTCTGAGTTTTCATACTGCGTCAGCTGTTTTTGAAGGTCCTCACTCAGAAACACCAGACATCCGAGGACACTGCCTCCTTCATCTGTTTGAGTGACGTTCAGATTTTTTTTTTTTTTTTTTTAAGTGGGCTTTGTCCTCGTTTCCTGAGGCTGGTTTTAAGCACTGTCGTGAGATATAAATAAAATGGATAAACTGTCAGGGACATGTGTTTCTACCATAGCCTTTTATCTAGTTTGCTAGCAACATCCTTGAACCACCATTAGCCTACCGCTCTTATAAGGAGTCTACACATGTATAATGTGTATATATATATACACAATATAAAGCTGCATCTTGTATCAGCTGCACGTCATCATTTACACAATATAAAGCTCCATCTTGTATCAGCTGCACGTCATCATTGCAGTTTAGAGCCGTTTCAGATTCACTAATCCCTACTGTTGTCTTATTCCACTTACATGAAGATCAGCAGACACTGGACGTCCCTGACTCTCTTTCCTGTCTCTCTGTCTGTCTCTCAGCTGGTCGGTGGCCAGTTTGACCTAGAGATGAACTTCATTATCCAAGACCCGGACAGCATTGTGTGCATGGTGGAGCTTTTGGACAAGTGTGAGCCCACCTGCCAGGCTGAGGTCTGGAGCATCTTCACTGCCATCCTTAAGAAGAGTGTTCGCAACCTGCAGGCCTGCACCGAAGTGGGCCTCATCCAACTGGTGCTGCAGCGAATCACCACTACTGACAGCATGATAGCAGGTACTGAGAACCAAACGCTGTTTCTTTTTTTTCCATCCCATTAGCCTTAACCAAACCCTGGGGTCCTTAAATAACACAGTAGCCTGTGACAGGGGACGTAGTGGCTCATTAAGACCAAGTTGAAAAAGTAGCCCAGATTTTCACAAAAGACCCCAGGAAAAAAACCTGTTAGGAGAAGTTAGCTTTAAATGAGGACATGATCAGCTTCAAATATTTTTACGCACAAACTCGAAAAAATTATTCCCAAAATAGGTATTGGAGGGAAATTGGCTCTAAGAGGAAAGGAAGCTTGTGGAAGCTAGTGCAGTTATTTCCATCTCTAGTTTGCTATATGCTAATGTTCTGTTTACATACTTAGAAGACAGAGAGACACAAACTCTTTTGTGGATACATTGGACAGAACAAGGAGACCATCCAGTTTGTTTTTACCACAGAATTTGTGTCCAGTACATCCGCAAATTCGTTTTCAGCTCAGTAAACTTTGTGAACTGGAACATCGCTGGCCTGAAGGGTTAGTGCAGTCGACTAGGAATGATGTAGGCCAGCAGTTAACTCAGCTGTTTGTTTTTTTATACCACAATATATTTACTTTTTATCACTGGGTCTGACAGTATAAACACATGCAGTTTTTTCATAGAGTTCATTGAATTCTGTACTGTAAAGTGTTGTATTACCATTTAAAGTCAACATTGTTGCTGTTGTTTCACTCTTCCTCTCTGTCAGTATTGATTCTGTTTGTACTTGCTGTAGACTTGTTGAATGTCGAGCCCTGTTCTGTTTCCCCTCTGCTTTCACTGCCTTTTGCCGTGTGTTCTGCCCTACAGACCTGCTCGTTGACATGCTGGGTGTACTGGCCAGCTACAGCATCACAGTGAAGGAGCTGAAGCTTTTCTTCAGCAAGCTGCAGGGGCAGGAAGGCCAGTGGGTGAGTCAGATTCACGCCCGGGTGAACTATCCGTCTTGGTCGACTGGGACCTTCGGCGAGGAATGTGGTAGCAACACTTTAGCTGCTGCCTTCACCCACACACACAGTAGATGAAGATGATTCGTGTGAATCCAGACTTTTTACTCCGCACTGGGCTGCGGTCCAAAGCGGCACCACATCACTGACATTAGGACGTCGTGAAATTATGTGTGGACTTAACTTAGCAATATGAACAAAAAAAAAAAGATTTATCTACCATGGAAGACTGGGCTAAATGTGGCTGTAAGAAAACAGCCTCAGTCAGCTTCTGATGTATGATCAAAACAATAAGTGTCTGCATCCAGGCAGGACCGGTGGCACAGACACAGAGAGACAGCTGACGGCAAGGAGAGAATGAGAACAAAACCATTGATCGCTCACAGAGATCATGTTGTTGAGGAAGCTGGGCAAACTTACTCTACCCCCTCCACCACCCCCTACTCACAGAAGCTCTGGTGGTTGTTTTTACTCTACTCCCCCCACCCCCACTCACAGAAGCTCTGGTGGTTGTTTTTTTAAGTGTTCTAATCAACATAAATTAAAAGTTTTACTGCAATTAAGAAAATAATCACCAGTCCCAGCGGTATTGTCAAAATTGGTGCAATTTAAAATGTAATTCCTCCTATAATGGTCAAATTTAGATGTTGAATTAATGAGAGTCTAAATCAGGAAGGATTTTTTTTTAAACTAAAGAGACATGTATTGATTTAGATATTTGGACTGATAAGGAAAGATGTTTTTATTTTTGTTAAATCAATCACAGCTGAGTTGTCCGTCTTTGAACGAGCACACATTAAATCAAACAAATACATGAAAGCCTGATATAACTCCTGAAAGACTAGACCAGAAACAAAGGCGAACCTCATGGTGCGTTCTTCACTCATACTACAAACACGTGCAGTTTGTTCATGGCGTTACTGTTTCATTGAGTTTGACCGTCTCCGACTCCAAACACTATATAATTATTTAATAAGCTGACTTTATTTGACAAGGGAACATCAGCTGATACAGGATGATGTAAAAGATGCTGTAAATAATGTAGAAATCTACTATAGTGCTGTTGTCTCATGTTTAGAAATATATCTTAACTGCTGTATCACAATGCGAAAATGTCCACGTGGATCAGATGGCCTTCTGTTTTGTCTGTAATATAAATCTCTTTGTTCAGTTTGCATACAGTTTTTCCATTAAATCAGCATGCAGAACACACACATCCTATAAAAGTGTTTTTAAAACAAACTCATTATCACTTCTCTTGTCTCTAATGGTGATTTTTTTTTTTTTCCTTCCCTCCATCAGCCCCGTCATGCAGTCAAACTCCTCTCCGTGCTGAAGTACATGGCTCATCGGAACGGTCCCGACTCCTTCTTCAGCTTCCCTGGAAAAAATGCAGCAGTAAGTACAATTGCCAGAATATTAAACATCAACTCTTAGATCTGGCCTGTGTAAAGGAAGATTTCCCTGAATGGGCAGAAATATCCTCCACCCGTCGTCTACCACAAAGTGGAGCTCACTCTGATCACAGCCTCCAACTCTGTTAAAACCTTCTCCAGTTTGTAGAGCCCAGAGGAAAAGCCTGTATGACTTTTTATGGTTATTTTTAATTTATTCCAGCTCTACTGTTTAATGTGTTGCTGAGGCTTTGAAAAATGTATGTTTTTATCAACCAAAATTTGATAAGTGTATGTTATGTGTGTTTACGGCGTATGGCTGCGACCTAAAAATATATTTTGGGATTCTATTATTAGTCAAATATTAACATTTGGTTGATGGTGGTTGTAAAGAAACAGGAACCTGACTTCACAGAATTTAATGGTTAATTTTGCGAAAACACATTAAAAACATTTGTTTTACTATAAAAAATCCTTTAAACTTTATAATTTGGAAACTTTAACATTTTGCACCATTTTATTGCCATTAGGATTCATTTGCATGAGACATGATGAAGCTGTGAGATGGAATATCACAACAAAGTGTGTGTGTTTCTGTGTTTGCGCCTGTGTGTGTAAATATGTGCCCCACTTTATGCTCCATTAGTTTTTGCATATGTACACTCTTCCCCATTTAATTAATGGACTGGGATGAAGCTGCCACACATCAACAATCATCACGTTCCCCCATATTTCTTTTAACATTTTCATCTTTTCTAGTGTATCGTTTATTTTTGTCAACGACGGGTCTGATTCATTAGTGATGAGATCATTTAAATTCTCAGTCCAACTGTTTTCTTTTGATTTTTTTTTTCTTTCATCCTAACAGGCTATAGCTCTGCCCCCCATAGCAAAGTGGCCGTACCAGAATGGCTTCACATTCCACACATGGCTCCGCATGGATCCTCTTAACAACATCAACGTAGACAAAGACAAGCCTTATCTGTACTGGTGAGTAACAGAGACTAATGTAATTCAACTCTGTCTTTCTTTTTTTAGAGGTTAAAAAAACCTATCATTTCACATTGGTGCTAAAGGAAGAATAGCTGGAACAGTCCAGCACAGGAACCTATTACTCTGTATCCGACAAATTGATTGGATGACAGAAAAAAATGTCAGGGTCTTCATTCTAATTAATACAAACTGCATCTGAGCTACAGTAGCGCGGCACAAAACCTCCCGAATGACAGATAGTTGTTCTCTCCGTCAGTATTTCATGTCTCCTCAACCTTTGCTTTCCCTCAGAGGAGCGGGTAAATCAAGCATTTTGATCAACTTATCTTTCAGCAGAAATTAATTTCTCTCCTGAATCCAATTTACACAACGGGGATCTGTTTGGGCTTCTGTAGAGATGATAACCAGCTGAGCAGACATCTCGCTGCTTGAAGGAATCTGTAATGGACGCCCGTCTACAGCTCATTGCCCTTTTATAAAAAAAAAGAAGAGAGAGAGATTAATCCACTAAATCACATGCAGAGGCCTTATCTCACCAGGGCGCTGAGAATGATGGGAAAAAGTTGAGAAGTTATAGCCTTGCTCTTGTTTCCCTTTTCATGACATTTGAAAGTGTTTGTATGATATATTAGAGACCATAACCAGCGGTGCCTTTGAACGTGGCAACGTTAAGACTGAAGCTCAGTGATTGTTCTTTTTTTTTTTTCTCTTTCGCCCTCTCCAGTTTTCGCACCAGCAAAGGCCTGGGCTACTCTGCACACTTTGTGGGCGGCTGTTTGATAGTGACCTCATTAAAATCCAAAGGAAAAGGATTCCAGCACTGTGTGAAATATGACTTCAAACCACAGAAGGTAGGAGAAGAACCAGAACAAGAGTGCAATACCAGTTCTGGTGTGGTGAACCAGCGACGCTGAATGTTAATTGTCCAGAAAATGTATTGCACAAATGAACACTTTTAACGGTTTATAGGCCCACACACACACACACACACACCTGTATTGCACAAATGAACACTTTTAACAGTTTATAGGCACACGCACACACACATGGAAAGTCGGAAATAAATGTAGAGATGGATCTAGGAAAGAAGTGTCACGTCTTCCCTCACTCTGGGGAAAAGCAAAACTAGAAGAAGGAGAAAGGAGGGCAAACGGGATGGAGATGGTGCTAATACTTAAAGTCCCTCCCAGGCACAGTACAAAGTGAACATCATTACTGTCTGAGTGAGCCTCTGTCTTGTATTTGCTCCTGTTTCTCCGGGGCATGAAGGCACCACTTTAGTAAAAAAAATAACCCCATGGGTGCAGAGTGAGGGATTTGGCTGCTTCTAAAGATGATGTTTACGTCATCAACATGTATTATATTACCCATGAGAGGTCGTCAGCAATAGTGGGTTTGGTTTACATTTTTATACCGGATGCCCTCGCTGAAGCGACCCACATGGAATATCTAACCAAGAGCCATTTATTTTATTTTATTAAAATAAAAAATAGCAAGTGCTCCTTTATTGGAATCATATGGTAGGACCTTTTATATTGACATTTCGTACCTCTACACACACCTCTGTGCTGAGGAAATATAAGCCACATTTGAGCACCGTCACACTCTGGGTTTGTAAAATCAGAACAACATCTGCAGATTTATTTCTGTGAAATACTGCGTTTGAACAGCTCACTCCAACCCAACAGTTGTATATACATGTCTTCACATTTCCTGTGTCAGCTCCTGGTGTGACTGTCTGCTCCTTGTTGTTGCAGTGGTACATGGTGACCCTCGTCCATGTCTACAACCGCTGGAAGAACAGTGAAATCAGCTGCTTTGTGAACGGAGAACTGGCCTCTTATGGAGACATCGCCTGGTTTGTCAACACCAGTGACGTGAGTGTCAGCAATGTAGTAGTGGAAATTATTTTTATGTGATATTTATCTGCTTTTTCTATTATTTTTCTGTTATAGTTTATGCTCCTAGAGTCTAAATATGACATAAAAATGTCATACACTACCTTAGGTATTATTATAGATATTTTGATGATGGTTGTTGCGGAACTAGAAACTTAAGTGAAATTCACACCCACATTTTTTGTCTAACGACTAGTTGCTCCTACAGGAATTTCGCAGTTTCTGATTTGATTAAAAAACTGTAAAAATATTACCCAATATAAAGTAACAAAGTAATGAAAAAAAATAAAACCAACAAAAAATTGCCAAAAATACAGGAAAAATATAAATAAAAATAATAAAAAACAAACTTTAATAAATGTATCCAAATGCTATAGTTGCTGAAAAGTAAGTATATAAACAACTAAATCATAGCCTTAAATATAGCAAAGGCTTGGGATCTTTTTTTTGGAAATTTAAGTTGGGATGAAAAGGAGTGTAAACTAAAACTCTCTGCACAAAACTCCTCCTTTCCACCTTTAAATATGGACCTCACAGTGAAAAATGACTCTGTGTGGATGTGAGTACATCTCACACCTCGACTCTGAGCCGTTCACCAGTTCTGTTGTCTGTTCTAAGATTCTTAAATCACATCTTCTTCAGGGGTGAAAACTCCTCCGCTCTCCTCTGTAAACCTATCCATTTGTCAGAATGTCGAAAAAATCAAATTAGAGTCTGCATTTGAAAAATGACCTCAGCACTGTGGCCTGACTCCAACATTTCACATATGGAAAACATTCATTTATCCTGTTGGTGGTGATAATCTGGGATGATGTCATTTAAAAGTTGGTCTAACCACATCTGTTACTTTTCTCTGTCTCTGTATTTATTTATTTTTTTCTGTTTTATATTTTCTTCTTTTTCTTCCCATCCATTTTTTCCTTTTTAAAAATGTTGTCTTAAAATACTCGTCTATCTCAACATCCTCCTCCGCAGACATTTGACAAGTGTTTCTTGGGGTCTTCGGAGACGGCAGATGTCAACCGTGTGTTCTGCGGACAGATGGGTGCGGTTTACCTTTTCGGAGAAGCTCTGAGTGCTGCTCAGATTTTAGCCATTTATCAGCTGGGTCCAGGATACCAGGTATGGAATCTTAGAATTTAAGTTATTCATTCACATTATCTCTCTCACTCTCTCTCTCCTTCTAATTGAATCTAATTTGATTTTATTTGCAGGGCACCTTTAAGTACAAGGCCGAGAGCGACCTGCTGTTTGCCGAGCATCACAAGACTTTACTGTACGACGGCAAACTGTCTTCTTGTATCGCCTTCACGTACAACCCTCGGGCCACAGATGCTCAGCTCTGCCTGGAGTCCTCCCCCAAGGACAACGCCTCCATTTTCGTCCATTCCCCTCATGCTCTCATGCTGCAGGTGAAGTCTTTTATTTTCTTTTTTTTTTCTTTGCATCTGACTCATAAATTCATCTTTACTTCCTCTTGAGAAACTGACTTGTGACCACAACTGTCCTATATCCTATAAATTCTAGATTTATGCCTATTAGTTTTTTTTTCTATCATCTGTACTAATCATATATTGGTTTTCCATCTTTTATTTTTATTTTAAATATTTTTTTAATTGCAGGATACACTGTTATTGTTGTTTTTATGTAAAGCTGAAGAATCCTGTTTTATAATTTTACCTTAGTAAAAGAAAAATATTTGTTGTGACTGTGATGATGGTCTAGTCTGCTCAGCGCTCCTCCTCGATTGCACTCTGCAGTTTAATTGTTGTTGTTCAGCACTTGTGTGTCTATACGCCTCGTGTTGGATTTATGCCTATTAGTTTTTTCCCCCTCTGTACTAATTATATATCGGTTTTCTGTCTTTTATTTTCACTTTTTTTGCACTTGTGTGTCTATACGCCTCGTGTTGTGTCCAAAACTTTTCCCCTTTATGCTCCTCATTCACTTCACACCATAGATGATCAATAACCAACATGAAATTATCTAAATCTCTATAATACAGAGCTGTGGTGTTTTGACCTCAGTGTTTCTAAACATAGACTTTATAAAACGTCCACTCAGTTTTATTGAGGAAGCAGAGTGTGTAATGGTAACATGACTGAATGTGTGTGTTTTTTTTCAGGACGTCAAGGCTGTGGTGACTCACTCTGTCCAGAGCGGCATACACTCCATTGGAGGTGTGCAGGTTCTCTTCCCTTTGTTTGCACAGCTGGATTATCGCCAGCCTTCCAGTCAGGAGCTGGACACTTCTGTCTGGTACACACACACACACACACAAATAGAAACACCACATTATACTGTTTGCTTTGCAAAATGATTAAAGAGTAATAATGAGCTAAAAAAGAAGGATAATAAAAAAATCACAAATTTGAATAATTTTTTCATCCTAAATTTCAAATGTAAAACCTCATTAAAAACTGTTTCTATGGTCAGGATGATGTCATTTTATATTTCAAGTATTTTGTTAATGGTTTTTAAAGGTTGTGTTTTTGTATTTTTTAATAGCTGTAGAGCATTAAAAGTTTATGAAGGTCAGGCTAACCTATGAACTGTGCTGTTGTTTTATCTGCTGACCACAAAGTGATGCTATTTCTAAATCTGCTCTCCCGGCACATCACAAACGCAGAAGCCTCATTCAGTCACAGTTCCTGTTGGACACGTCCTTCACAGTCGAAGGCCTCGTCAGCAGCCCACAGGGTTTGTCGTCTCTGTCAAACTCACTCTGTCTATCTCCCTCTCTCTCTCTCTCTCTCCCTCCGGTAACCGTTTGTCGTTCAGCTGCACTCTGCTGTCCTTCGTGATGGAGCTGCTGAAGAACTCCGTGGCCATGCAGGAGCAGGTCCTGGCCTGCAAGGGCTTCCTGGTCATTGGCTACACGTTGGAGAAGGTGAAGAAAAACACAGCTGTGTTTCATCTGCTGCACAAATGCACACGAGATTCAACCTGCTGCAGCAGTTGCTGGATTTATAATGAAGCCAGCACAGTACCAAGGCTGCTCCTTATTCCCACTGCAACACTAACACACACACTCACACACACACACACACACCAACAAACACCAGTCCTTGTTTTTCGCCCTCAGCTGTATTTAGATTTCACAGCTGAAGGGCACCGTCCTCACCTCACTCCCAGACTGTGTCTTTAGTCCAGTGTTATGTCTCCTTCATCTACACATCGACTGACCTCACTGACTCTCCGTGTCCGTCTGTGCTCCAGTCTTCCAAGTTGCACGTGACCCGCCCCGTCCTGGAAATTGTGCTGGCCTTTTCCAGATATCTAAGCAACCTGCCGAATGGCATCCTGCTGCTGAAGCAGCTCTGCGATCACATTCTGTTCAACCCCATCATCTGGATCCATGCCCCCGCCAAGGTACCCTTTAAAACATGAACATTAGAAATGGCTGCCATTTAAGCTCCACGGTAGACTTCACTTTGTTCCTTTTCCCTCTTTTTCTCCGAGGTTCAACTGACCCTCTACACCTACCTGGCGACAGAGTTCATCAGCACAGTGACCATCTACAACGCCATTCGCAGGGTGGGCACTGTGCTTCAGGTCATGCACACGCTCAAATACTACTACTGGGTCGTCAACCCCCAGGACCGCAGTGGGGTCATGCCCAAAGGCACAGGTCAGTGTGTCAGAACTGTCAAAAGATTATAAATATGTTTATTTATTTGATCATAATAAATCAGGATTAATCGTGATTTTTTTTAGAATAAACATTAGGATACTTGAAAGGAAGAAAACATGTTTTTTGGTTTATAATCATTATAAACATGTATGCATTTATATATGTATCTATATATGTATATACAGTATATATATGTATATATACCATGCCACATACAATGTGTCTTTTTTTTTTCAAGACATTGTCTTCTTCCTCTTCCTTTCAGATGGTCCCAGGCCAAAACCATGTGTCTTTTTTTTCAAGACATTGTCTTCTTCTTCTTCCTTTCAGATGGTCCCAGGCCAAACCACAAGGAGATTCTGTCTCTGAGAGCTTTTCTGTTGTTGTTCATCAAACAACTCATAATGAAGGTGAGCTCAGGAGTGAGGCCAGAGTGAACCACTCCTCACTCATCACCAGAATCCATTCATTTGACAAAGTGGAACATTAAGAAGTTATTACAAGCAGTGATCCTACCATCGATGATAATTGTTTAATGGCTCTTTGATGGAGCTCTCTGATTGCACTCCACTATAATGCAACGTGCCTGAGAGCCTACTGCCAATTTTTAAATCCCAAACATTAACAGCGTTTGGTAGTAAATATTTCCCATTATACGTATCTTTCCAGGAAGGGAAACAAACAAGCAACTTCGTGTAAACTATATATTCTTCTGTCTGGAATATTTCATGCTAGTGTCACCGGTTTGACTACAGTAGTGCATTTATCTGATGAAATATATGTCAACCACATGCTGGTTGTAAAACACCATTAAACGAGTAAAGCAGTTGTGATGGGATCTGTTTTTTTTTTTTCAATTCTAGGATCATGGAGTCAAAGACGACGAGCTGCAGAGCATCCTCAACTACCTCCTCACCATGCACGAGGTAGGAATCGTCAGCATTATCATTAAAACATGCAGGTGATGCCTCACCACCAGGTGGCGCAGTATTGTCAGCATTATCATTAAAACACGCAGGTGATGCCTCACCACCAGGTGGCGACCTAACACTACTGTAACGTACTGTAGCTTCCCTTTAATCTGGGAGGCAAACGGTTCTGCTACAGCAGGATTTAGTAGTGTTTATTTGATGTCCATATATATTGATATATAAATACATACATACAATATATGCACAAATAAATATGTTAAATCCATCATGTTAACTGTTTTCCTCCCTGTCCAACAGGATGACAATCTCATGGACGTCCTGCAGTTGTTGGTTGCACTCATGTCTGAACACCCAGGCTCATTGGTCCAGGCTTTCGACCAGCGAAATGGAATTCGGTAATAATAATAATAATAATAATAATGAGTCTAGTGGGTTGTTGTTGGTTTGTCTTATTAAAGTGTCAAAATAAATGGCATTATTGCTAATTAATTTGCTTTGTTTTAAATCATCCAAACTATTTCTAATGGCTCTGTTTGTATTTTACAGCAACGTTTTATCGAATGTAACAAGTGGCTTCAATGAGGGAGTTTTTTAATTCGTTATTGTTTAATTTTTGCAGAGTACTTTACAAACTTTTGGCTTCAAAAAGTGAAGGAATCCGAGTGCAGGCGCTCAAAGTGATGGGCTACTTTCTCAAATATCTGCCACTGAAGTAAGTACCATGTCTCTGTCATATAATAATAATATACATTTTATTTACTGGACTCAATTAAACTATTTATATATAATTAAACTGTAAGTCTGTGGAACAAACAATTGTTTTTTAATTTTTAAGTATTTTGTTTCCTTTTTTTTTAATTATGAAACCGAAAGAACAGATTTAAGATTGTGTGGTGTTTTTTTAAATAATAAAAAAAATCCTTTCTTGAGTTTTTTAAATTTATTTTTTATTGATTAATAGACATTTTAGGTGACCCCATTTGAATTTTTTAAATTTATTTTTTATTGATTATTAGACATTTTAGGTGACCCCATTTGCATTCCAGGTCAAAGAACACTGTATTATGCTTTTGTGTAGTCACCATGTCTAATATTTTTCATGAGCAACTTCAGACAGAAACCCTCGATGACATTCTGGTGGTGTCTCATTGTGCCACGCTTTAATGTTTGCCAGCTATGCCACATGATCTCCAGCAGCACACAGGCCTGTTTCAGTTACACTTTGAAGCCTTTGGATAAAGATGTGAATACTGCACCATAAGGAGATCTGCAGACAGTTTACAGATACATTTTTAAACGTTGGAATTGATACACGATGAGAGATGAAAGGCTTTTAAGGGCAGCGTTGCTCTCGCATGGACAGCAGGGATTCTCTTTTTCATTTCCTCCATGTCAGAAATCAGCTGGAGCTCATCGGATACGTGCCGCAGTGCAGAGAGAGTCGTTTGTCTCGTCAGAAAAGTCAACAAAGCGCATTACCTTCGTTTGTGGCTATAACCCATAAAATGAAATCTTGGAAATGAGAACAGTTTTTTGTACTTGTTTAGTGAAAGCTCTGTGTTGTTGTCTTAACATGAGTCGCCCTGCTCTGTTTTTCTGACCAAACTTGGACTTTCTCATGTCCTACTCAGGAGGAAGTCTGAGGTCATGCTGAGTCACGGCCTCTTCTCCCTGCTCACTGAACGCCTGATGCTGCACTCCAGCCAGTTCTCCATGACAACGTACAACGTGCTCTTTGAGGTCAGTCGTCTGCCTCTGCTAACACTGCGGGCCTGTTGTTCTGTACAAACTGAAACCATCAGACAACAACAGTACTACACAGTAGTATACACTGCCTTATCCAGAGTATATAATTACAACACATTTTCTCTGTCTTATTTACTGCCGTGATGTCGTAGTCGTGTAGCCCTGGGTTCAAAACTAAAATATGGGAAAACACATTAACCAATATATTGCGTCCCATCACATGCATACATAAACCCGATGTGACAGTTATTCAGCAACATAATATGTGATCGCGTAACATATCCACAGCCTCGCGCCTCCACAGTGTGGTTTGTTTCTCTGTTATTGCTCAAACCCTCGCAGATATTTATGACTCGAATCCCCTCTGTGTCCCATGGTAGATCCTCACGGAGCAGATCTGCACTCAAGTGATCCATAAACAGCATCCGGACCCCGACTCCACCGTGAAGATTCTCAACCCACGTAAGTGCCTCTTCTGCAGCACAATGCATCCCTAAATCATCCCCTGCAGCGTGGCCTCCACATACCTACACTACGTTTCCCCTGTGATCTCTATATACAGTAAAACAAATGAAAGACGTAAATTCTGCAGCCGGCTCTTATTTTTCCTACAAACGTAAGGTTGATGCAAATGTCTACGGGACGGAAACCCGTTGTCTTGCTCAGTAGAAACGCCCCTGTTTTTTTTAGATTCGTGTAAAAATATAAATGAAAGAAATGACGTCTATTTATTTATTTATTCACTATATTTCAAGCATCACGTGTTTATTTTTCGCACACTTGCTGTCATGTGATTTACTTAACTTAGTTTAGAGAAAGAAAGAAAATGTCTTTTATTTATTAATAATAAAAGTGGGGGGTTACTGCATTGACTGATAATTAATTTGTGAAATTAATCCCAATTTTTTTAAATGTATTGTAATGTAAAAAAAAATACAAAAAAAGAAAATGGCTAATACACGTTGTCATTTACACTCACCGAGGAGACGAAAATGTATTTTAATGTAAAAAAAGAAAAACACAAAAAAAGAAAATACACATTGTTGTCATTTACACTCACCGAGGAGACGGGTTTTCTATTGACCAAAGCTACTTCAGCTTTAACTACTGTCTCTAACCAATATCAATCCATAATTTGAATCACGATTAATCCACAGCTACCACATGATTAATCAAATTCCAACTTGAATCGTTTGAAAGCTGTACTAATAATATATATAAAAAAGGTTCACATTATTCAACTAATGAACAGATGTTTTTAATAAATGGAAAAATAACGTTTAATGTTAAAAGTACAGTATTCAGATGGATGTGTGTATTCTTCCTACTTTCTATCCACACAAAATATTCATCTGAACCTTTTCTCCTCTGTGAGAGCGTCATGGCTGTGAGAAAGCGCAGGATAACGAGCTGAGACAGAATCCCAGATCAGACCCGTGTTCCCGTCCCCTATTTCCAGGCTATTACTTCCCTTCAATTTTATGTGGACACACTGAATTATTTTCAAAGATGAAATCCTAAGTATTCATTTCAGCTCGAAAAAAGAAAAGAAAACACTCTCCGCTCTTTGATACTGGCGTTTCCAAAATACCTCGCAACACAGTTAAATCAGCCTGAAATCCAAGCACTTGCTATAATCACGACCAAAGGTTCTCTTTCAGCCATCCTTAATCTGACAAGGCCCTGCTGTAGTCGCACATTGATTATCCGGAGCCTTTTTTGTGTTAAAAACTCTGCTGCCCAACCATCCTCGACAGACGGTATACATCACTGAAACCCTGTACGGGTTTTTGTACATGTGAGCACATTCTCCGGAGCAGAGAGCAGTGGTCTGTTTCTCCTTTGCTGTGCATTCTCTTGATTTAATCTGCGACAAACTCCCGAAATGGCCCCCTGATTGCAGTCTTTAGTAACGTCAGAGCCAATCAAACAAACCGAGGAAGTACAGTTTCCCTCCAATTAAACTGCAGTGAGAGGGACCAAGAGCAAATGGAAAAAAGGAGGGAATACGCCATCCCTCCGTCCTCATTCCCGGTACATGCTGGGATAATTTTCTGGCGGTAAAGGTTCAGCGACTCATAATTTGAGTGACTAAGGCGTAGAAACAACACAAGCGTCTGCTGGAGTGAGGGGGGGCGAGGGGGGCACAGGTTAGAGCCAAGGTCTGAAGAGACAAGTGAAATCCAAGCCCTGCCGTCTCTTTACACAAAGCAAATGGACACTGACATTGTCTAGATAATTCATCTAAACAGCCAGTCTCTTTGGTTTAACCCAAGCCAAGCTTTCCAGAGAAGGGCCTGTGACTTTGGCTCTCCTGTTTGAAACTCTACCAAAGCCATTACAGTATAATAAAGATCAATAGCTCAGAAGTTTTTTTTTATTTTTTTTTATTCTCCTCTCTTCTTGTATTCCCGCCGCAGATGCAGATTTTCAGGTGTGCACTGCTGGGAGTTCCAGATCATTTGTGACACAATGATTTGCACATGTTGAGACCAATGTCTGATTTACTTGTTGATTTGTGCAGGTGGTGTTTCCAAATCTGAGCTTTTTTTTTAAACGATAACCATTAAATGTAATACTTCCTCCCCTTTATCGCGTTACACAATCGACTTTGCAGACTCGAGTTCTGAGATAAGAAAAAGGAGAATTCTGATGTTCCAGGACAGGGTTATGTTCATTTTTGGAAATCCCTTATCATTTCTTTATCTCTCTTCTCGCTTTGTTTCCCTGAATATTTATAGAGATTCTGAAGGTAGTAGCTGCTCTGCTGAAGACCGCTCCCCCGTCTCCTGAGAGCATGGAGGTGCGGCGGCTCTTTCTGTCAGACATGATCAAACTGTTCAATAATAGCCGAGAGAACCGCAGGTAAGAATCCACGTGAGCGGCATCTTTCTCACCGTCGCACACGCTTCCATTTTGTTTCTGATTTTTTTTATTCATCGTGGCTAGAGGCTCTCAGACTCTGTGTTGTGTTGCAGGAGCCTGCTGCAGTGCTCCGTGTGGCAGGAGTGGATGCTCTCTCTCTGCTACATCAACCCCAGAAACAACGAGGAGCAGAAAATCACAGAGATGGTCTACGCCATCTTCCGCATCCTCCTTTACCACGCCATCAAATACGAGTGGGGTGGCTGGCGCGTCTGGGTGGACACGCTGTCCATCACCCACTCCAAGGTCAGAACACTGGATGAATCCACTCACACAGAGACCGAGACACAGTTTAGAAACACATTTGTTTGTTTTACCGTCCAGCTTTTTTTTTTCCCCTTTCGTTATCCTTATCATTCCCTTTTTCTGCTTTTCCTTTATTTTTCATCACACGCGTCTTCACTCGCTAACACACACTCTCTCTCCCTCTCTCTCACACACAACTCACTATCTCTGTCTCTCCCTCTTTCACACACACACACACACACACAAATCTCCCCCTTTGACTGTAACTGTAACCTTCTTCAGTCTGATTCGAGGCAAACACAGAGCAGATTCCAGCCTAAACCATCAGCTTTTTCGCTCATATGTTTAGTTGCCTCTGTCTGAACCCTGACTCTCGCTGCCAATCAGATTACCCTCACGGAGGCACCGCACTGATAATTGTTTAAACTTTAGTTGCAGTTCTTGAACCCGCAGAGTTTCTCCGTACGGTATTTACGCAGAGAATATCATTCTTTCACGACGCACAGATAAAAATAAACTTCTGGCACTTCTGATTTCCAAAAGTGTAATTCAAAACACTGCCTTAGAAATTAAGTGTTGATATTATGTTACTGCACTCTACTCCAAAGCAGTGAAGTAATTGAGGCTGGTGTCAGATTGTGGTCTGGGGGGTTTTTAAGCCTGGCAGATTGAAAGTTGAGTTAAAGAAGGGCTGGTGATGTGTGTGAGTGAGTGACTGTGTGTGTGTGTGTGTGTGACGCTGTAGACAGGCGTGGTGCGTTGTGAGTGTTGGCGTCCAGTAGGGGGCACAGGCAGACTGCAGGGGAGAGGATCAGTGTGAGGGCAGAAACCAGGCACAATATTTTGTATTTTGCTCTGAAATGCCAACATTTAAACACTGCAGCTCGAAGTCGACAGTGAAGAGAGAATTACATTTTCTCTCTGTAGTGTGAGATTTAAAGAAAAAACAATGACTGTGTCCTTCTTGTTAACGGCAGCAAAATATGGCCATTTTTTTTATTGTAGAAATGTATTTTTATTGATACTGCAGTTGATTATATTTGAACCATCCATTAACAGGCTGTTTTGATTTGGCATTCATTTTTAAAAGTAATCAATAAAAGCACAGGGTTGTATGAGATGGTCCAAGAAGCACGTCTCAGTATTTTTTCTTCTAAATCTCGATTGATGACATATATCACGATATTTCTTCCTTGTAAAATATAAAACAAAATACTGCGAGACCACATATTCTGTACTGCACAGCGATATTATTTGAAAAAAAAGTAAATTTAAAACAGAGCATCCAATGTTTGATATTATTTGGGAAAAAAAATGTAAATTTAAAACAGAGCATCCAATGTTTAATAGGCATATATTAAATAAAAATATAAAAATATTTTTATTTTTTTTACATTAGCAAAATGTAAATTGAATGAAAAACAGACGCAGTAAAAAGAAACAGCCAAAACCAGCAACCTAGCCGTTTGCAGATTATATGTTTGGTCAGGTTTATATATACAGTTTGCATATAAACGATATAGCCTCCTTATATGCTGCCTTTAAAAAAATATATGGATATATCATAAAACGTTGATCTATAGCCCAGTACAATCCAACTACGATACTTCTTACTGTTAATCCTCCATGGATTTATTTTACAAATGTCAATTTTTGAGAGTGTTTAAGCTTTTTTCTGAAAGTTTAAATAATTTAAATTGTTTTACAAAAAATAATAATACATCTTAAAATAAGTTTTGGGAAATATTTAATAATTTAAGCACATTTTATAAAAAATGTATACTTATATCTATATATGTATATATACAAATATATGTATTTCCCATTTGTATTTCTGCATTTAATTAGTGTCTATAACGACTTGTCCTAGATAAACGCATAAACATAATCTGCATTCCCATTGGTTCTTGAATCAAATGATCTAACTAAGCTGATTGAGTGTATTGACTGAGAATATAAATATCAGATTCATTGATCGTTATTTTTTATTTTTGCTGCTCTTTCTCTGCTCCGCTGCAGTTGGCTGGCTCTTTATTTCATTTTGTCTTTCTTGCACATCCGAGCCGTGTTGTTCTGCTCTAGTTTCACCTGTGAGCCACAGCTCCTGTGTGTTGTGGTCTCATTGTGCGTGGCGGCCATGCGTCTTGTCGGCTGTTTATTCCTCTCTGCACACCGTAGTCGCATTTATTTTTTTTACAATAATTGCACAAGATTAATGGTGTTTCTGCTCTGTTCTAATAACAACACACAACACTGGCTTCCCTGCAGAATTGTACGTGTGCACAGTGTGTGAATAAACCCGTGCACTTGTGAAATGTAACACGCACACGTGGTGCAGCGAATCCGAGCAGTGCAGCATTGCATTGTGGCCACCGAGATACATGCATCTGCTATAAAAAAAAAAAAAAGCAAAAGAAACTCAATTGCTATTTTATTGTCCCGTTTGATAGATTTCCTGCCACCTTTGTAGCACCAGAGCTGTTTGTCACTGTTGCTCTCTCCTCCCACTGCTGCAGGGCTGTGTGTGTGTGTATATCTGCGTCAGTGTGTGTGTGTGTATGTGCACATAGCCGTGCCTGTGTGAATGTGAGTTATCAGGCACATTTCTCTTTGCCTTCCTTCTCTCCTGGGCTCTGCTCAGACCTTCTCTCCGATCCCATTGAATATTCATCGGAACCGCGAAAGAACAATCAGAGAAGGAAGGCCTCATAAATACAACCAGCCCAGCGGGAGCCTCTTGATAAGCGCATATATGCATTTACAAATGTGTATCCGCACACACACACACACACGTGTACGTAATTCTTGCACAGACTGCGTGTAGTTTACCCTGTGTTTCCTGTGGTAAATTGTCAGCCGTGCTCGTGTACAGGTGGCGTTCCTCGTCCCACGTGTTTGTTTTGATCGCAGGGTTTAGCGTTTAACAATGTCTTTTGCCTCGTCTCAGCCTTCGTGGTGCATTTTTTAGGCATTACTGCAGATTGTATCTCATTATCACTTATTACTTAACACCTGCTGAAAGTCAAACAAAGTAGATTGATGTTTTTTGGTTTTGCAGCCCAAACCGGATCCATCCGGCTCTCCGTCATGAAATGTTTTGCATTGCATTGCAGTGATGCCTTGATTTGATTTACTCTGAGCTGAGATTTATGTTGTTTTTTTTAATTTGGTCTGATGATCAACGCAAAACAGCAAAACACAAAAAAATAATCTCTACTGTGTTTTTTTTTTTACCCTTGTTGATTTTTTTACAGCACTGTCTGTCATCTATTAGTTAGTGTGTCTGGACATAGGTCTCTGACTAGACAGATGTTGCTGCAGGTGGGCACGCCGACACAGCAGCCCTCCCACCATCAACCCTCACACCCTCTCAAGGTGCCCCGTGTCCATCCATGCACACAAATCAGTTTGAGAACCAGGAGATTCCCAAAAACAGACAGATCCAGGCGTGAAGGTCCTTCGAGATCATTATTCCCTTACAAAAAATTTCCACAAGGGCAAATAAACCATCACAAGTACAGATTTTTTTTTTTTTTTTTTAAAAGGATGATTATTTTATGTAAAGTAGTTCAGCCTTGTACGGTACAGTGTAAAATCGTGGGTCGAACAGAGTTTTGTAAGTGAGATGTCACATACACACGACCCTTGTTCACAGCTGTAAAAACCAACGGTACAGTGTAAAATCGTCGGTCGTACAGAGTTTTGTAAGTGAGTTGTCACATACACACGACCCTTGTTCACAGTGAAGAGCTGTGAATGGATGCACTGACAGGTGAACAAAGGAAAGAGAGAGTGAACACAGTAAAAAAGCCAATGAAAGATAAGAGCCTTACATCAAGTGTTGACTTGGAAGCTAAAGGCCAGCGCTAACATTCACAGTTTGGAATTTCCATCTTACAAACATTAAAGTTTGCCAAAAAAATATTTATACTCTCTAAAATTAACCTTCAAAAGTGCAAATCTTTGTTTATGTTTTTTTTTTTTGCCCAGAGCAGAATGACAGCTCCAGTAAGTCGTGTGCGTCTATCAGTTGATCTCATGGGCTGGAGGAAAGCTTGAAAAAATGTTTTAACAAGGAGTGAGAAAAGGAGATTTTTGAAGAGTAAGAGAAAAACCACACGGCCAGCACAGTAGTTACAGATGACATTGATTTTGGAGGAGGAATTGCATTTGGCTAATCGGATTAGAACCGCGCTGCCCTCCCCATTTCCCCTTTGTTTTGTGGTTGCCTGTTATCTATTGATCTAAATGTGGACTCCCCTGCTCCTGCTGTGAGGTCCCCCAAGATCACTGCTTCACCACCCTGGTGTGGTTCCTCTGTTTGTTCTGGATCCATTATTTTACAACCAAAAATTACATATTTTGTGCTCATTTGTTTTGGTCTTGTCCATGTGCAGAGAAGGCGTGGATTAGATTTAAGTCGATGTTTTGCTTCGTGATTTATTTTGTTTAAAAGAAAAAAACAAACAAACTAGGAAGTGAAGTTATAGACGTTGTATTTATGTGGCGTGTTGTCTTTCTGTTTTTGATGGTGTGTCTCTTTTCTGAGGCCTTTATGTTTGGCTGCGCTGAACCCAGTTAATACCATGTCACCTGTCACATTAGGAAAGCCCACCATGTTTTTGTACATTACCATAACATTCTTCCATAACCTACCGAAGTCGTGGAGCAGAATGAAATTAGATTAGATCAGCACTCATGTCTTAGCCACCCAGGGCCGTTTCTGTGCGCCGTAGCAAGCGGGCTAAATGCTCTTTTTTTTTTTTTTTTTTTCTTCTCCAAACCACAGAGCCGTACTCTACCTCGGTCTAATGGTAACTGGATCTGTTGCAGGGCTGCATTTAAGGCCAACATACATCATCTTAATGCACAGATTGCATCCTGAATCTATGACGTTATGTGCCGCTTTGCTCTCCCACATAATTTCCATAGCAGTGCACTCTGAATGAGGCCTTTTAATTGCTAAAAATGCTAAATGTCAAATTAGGCTCAAAGTAATGGGGGAAAAGGTCTCGCTGTGCGATCACTGGAAAAGAAAGAGAGAGAGGGAGAGAGAGCAGGACTACTGGTGCATTTAGAGGAGGCTGTACACTCTGAAAACAGTTATGGATTACCAATCACTGCTTCCCACTACAGAAGATTAATGAGCGCCCGTGTAGCAGGCTAATTTAGAACAATAACCCTTAATTAATTACAAATAATCAGCACATTTCTCTCCCTCTCCTTTCTTCCACTTGCACACAGTCATTTTTTTTTTCAACCACCAATCTTACCATTGTTTTTTTCTTCCTTCTGATGTTTCATTTTCTCATTCTCTTTGTTGTTTTTGTTTTTTTTCACTTCCTTTTTCAAATAGCTTCAAGTAAAAAAGCAGAAAAAAGGGTCTGGTACTTACCCCACACCTCCTCGTCCCCCCGCCCCACACACCACCACCACCAGCAGCAGCAGCATCATCTTTGACTTTCTGTCCTCCAAGCTCCGTGATTAATGCAGGTTCTTAAATTAGGCGTGGGAGGATTTGCCAATGCTGGACACGCACTCAGCACAGCAGGCCGACACCCACTAATAGTATCTACCGCTAATCTATGACTGCTTACATGGACGGGCTCTTCCTCAAACGCCACTGCACAGTATTGTTGCTATAGACTAGCAGTCTTGTTGAGCCGTATCAGATGGTGAGGAGGCCGAAGGAGCTCATTGGCTGTTGACAGATGGACATAAGAAAAGAAGAAAAGACAGTTTGAAATGTGTGACATAGTTGTTCATCATTGTTTTGTTTTGTTTTTTTTTTTTTGTCAATATGAATGAGCAATTAATACGTTTAGGAGTTGGGCATATATACTGTATATGTTTATATGTATATAAATATATATGTGTAATATACATATATACATTGTATATATGTCTGAGTGTGTTTATATAATATATGCATATATATGTATATATTGTATGTAGACAGATACATATATAAATCTGTGCTTGTGTGTATTCATATACAGTATATGAAAACATATATATATATACATATACACACATATATAACATATATTATGCAATAATAACTACGTCTTTATATTTGTTTCCTCCAGGTCACCTTTGAGCAGCACAAAGAGAATCTGTCCCGCATGTTCTGTCAGTACCAGAAGTTCGATTCCGCTGGTTCCCCCAGCATAATTCGAACCGTCTCTGGTGCCAGCCAAAGCTCCCAGAACGGAGCGTCAGCAGAGGAGGTGGCTCCCTCCACTGTTATCGAGCTCAGAGTGGACAAGTTGTCACAAAACACCTCGGAGTTGGCGCCTGGTTCCAGCATGGCCTCCGGCGTGCAGGAGACTGCTGATGAGAGGGGAAACGCAGCCATCACTGTGTCCAACATCTTAGCCAGGTCTGACGAGGAAGAGCAGAGTCCTGTCGAAGGAACCTCTCCTTTTGGTTCAGGTGTTGGACAAGAGAGCAGCCCTGCAGCAACAGACAAAACGAACACCGCAGAAGAGAGTGAAGAAACCAAACCCTCACAGTCAGAGGAAGCTGTGACTGAGAGTTCCAGCGAAGACCTGAAAGCAGCCACTGAGCCGTGTGACGCAGTGGACATGAAAGAAGTGGACCTGGTCAGACACCCTGCAGGAGACAACAAAGGTGAATCGGTGAACGCCATGGCAGAAGACTCCTTAAATGAAGAGCAGACGGATTCATCAGTGATTTCAGGACAAGACCAAACATCACCTGAGACTTCAGAGTGTCAGGAGGACGTTGCGGCAGGTGGAGCTTCCATTTTCAAAGAGGACCTGGTCGATGTGTCTTCTGTTAGCGATCAGATCACCCAAAGCGATGCTGAAGAAAACCAAGCCGACTCCTCATCTACCTCTGCTGCTGCTGGAGATGAAGGAGAGACATCGGAGAAGGAGGAAAATAAAAGTGCAGGCGATGAAGGCAAACAGAGTGAAAGTGAAGAAAAAGAGCTCACATCCAAAACTACAGAGGATGAAACTTTGAAGGACCCGATCAAGGAAAACACTGAAGAGAGTCAAACTGAAGCTAAAGCAGTCTCTGATGTGGAGACAGCTGCGTCAGAAACACCTGAGCAACATGTGACTGAACCATCTGAAGAATCAGGTCTAAACCAACAGCCTGCTGCCACAGAATCCACTGTGTCAGAGCAGCAAACTCCGGACACCGCACCACCGTCCACTGGCCAGGCGGCTGCAGAAGGATCAGAGTCCACCTCACCTGGACAAACCGCAGCCTCGTCCGGTACTCCAGAGGGCAGCACAGTGGCCTCCAACACTGAAGAATCTGTCACCAAGACCAAAGAGATTAAAATCGCCAGACTGGATGTGTCCAACGTGGCCTTGGACACCGAGAGACTGGAACTGAAGGAGACCACTACCACAGTATGTACTTTGTGGTCTATGGTTTAAATTCATGGAGTGTGTTTGGTTTCAGTTCGGTTTGTTAATTCTTTATGCATTTACTGCTAATACTCATTGTCACATTGGACTTATTATTATTTCTCCTTTTTTTATCAGTTAACATAAATAGAGCAAATCACAGGAGGGTCCTATCTGTACTGTACATCACTTTGGTCCACTGAGTGATCAGCAAATTAAATTGGATTGGATTAAATTATCTATGACATAAAAACATCAAAAGATTCTGATTTATGCCTTGGAGTCATAATGAAGGGCAAAAAGTCTCTAAAAAATCAACACAAGACAGTGAAATTGTATGTATGTAACCACGAAACGCTGTAGGTAGAGGGTGTCGTAAACCCAGGACCCCGTACTCAATAATGACTGTAATGAATCACGAATAACAAGTTGAAGGAAGAGACACTTCGAATGTGAGCCTCAGTCCATATAGGGAAAAAAACAAACAGTAAGATCAGACAGATATTTGGGAGTAGTCGTTTATCTGTGATCTGTTAATATAGATATTACAGATATCTAAGACAGATATTTGAGAGTAGTCGTTTATCTGTGATCTGTTAATGTACCATTTAAAATAACATCTTCTGACCTCTGTTTCTGACTCCCCACAAACCCTGCCTCATGTTTACGCTGCTTTCTGTGCAGGTTCAAGTTCAGTCAACAACAACAACAACATCATCAGCAGCAGCAGCAGCAGCAGGAAGCTCTTCAGATCAGACAACGAGAGACGGCAGCGGCTCCGCTCCTCGCTCCACTATGTTCCGTATCCCAGAGTTCCGATGGTCCCACATGCACCAACGCCTACTCACTGACCTGCTGTTTTCTATTGAGACGGAAGTCCAGATGTGGAGGAGGTGGGGTAGAACTCATCTGCAGACATCAGACAGACAAGATGATGAGTTTTCATTTCACTCCCTGTTTTGTTCCTGATGGAAACTGTAGGTCAGCTCGAATACTGTACGTGTGATCCAGGATTCTAAAGTACAGAGTACTACAAAAATACACAAAAATACAGCAGACCAGGATCATATCAGTATTATTCCTGACATTTGATAGAGAAGAGCTAATATAGAAATTGATCTTTGAGATAAATAATAAAGGTCAGACCGAGTTGAAGTTTTAACTGTATTACATTTACTTTTTTTTTAATAACTTAATCGTTTAAAAACTGAGGGTATTCAGTTTGTTACAGTTTTGCAAAGAGCATTTCTTTACCATCTCTGCACTAAAGACTTGATCGACCCACTCCTCACTGTGTTGACTTTCCACTGACCTTCTTCATTAAGATCCTCCAGACATTATCAATAGAAAACAGATCTGGGCTGCAGGCAGGTCAGTTAGTCACACACATTGCATATTAATAGAAGACAGTTCATGGCAGACGACCCATCTGAGCACAGAACCAGTTTCTGCCTTTTGGTTCATCACAGATGATGATACGTTTTTTTTTTTTTCTTGGTTTGCATATGTTCATCGGTTTGGAATTAAAAACACTGATTCTGCAGGCGAGCAGATAAAGCAGTGCATTTTTAGCATTCTATATTTGTAACAAAATCGTCTTTATTGTCCTTCTGTCTGGCAGTCACTCCACCAAGACAATCCTGGACTTTGTGAACAACAGTGAGAACGTCATCTTTGTCCACAACAGCATCCACCTCATCTCCCAGGTGTTGGACAACCTCATCATGGCCTGTGGAGGCATCTTACCTCTGCTCTCTGCTGCCACCTCCTCCTCCGTGAGTCACACTGCATGCTGTGTCTGTTCTATTGTCATGTCTCCTTACGTCTGCGGCAGCATACGTACTGATACACACTCTAATCACAGGAAGTCATCCATTCCCGCTGACCTTTGTCAATCGCATTAAACTACAGTTAGCTGCAGCCTAACATTGTTAGTTTGTTTTTGGTCTGCTCTGACCTCAGTGACTATGTGGCTCTCACATGAATCTTTGCTTTTGCCAGTGACCTGACCTTTCTGTCCCATTGTGAATAAATGAAATGCAGTTTTTTAAAAGTATATTCTGTTTTTACAGCTTTTTACTTGCCGTTACACATCGTGAATGAATATTTTTCTGCTGCTAGTGACTTAGCAATAATGTTGGGTCATTATTGATCAAGCTTGACACATACAGTATTAATTAGGTGTGATTTTTTTCTGTATGAAACACAAAAAAACACTTTTGTGTTTCATAATTAGACTGTATGGTTTTCAGCTTGCGGTAAATCCTCCTTCTGTTTCCAGCATGAACTGGAGAACATTGAGCCGTCCCAGGGTCTGTCAGTGGAGGCTTCAGTCACCTTCATGCAGCGCCTCATCAACCTGGTGGACGTTCTCATCTTTGCCAGTTCCCTCAACTTCACAGAGATAGAGGCAGAGAAGAACATGTCATCAGGAGGAATCCTTAGGCAGTGCCTTCGTCTTGGTGAGCACCGTTTATTTTCCCGTGGTAACAACTAAAGTTTCAGAATCACAGGAATATTTTTCGAAACAACTTCCTCACTGTGGGTAAAAGAAATAGGTTTCCTTTGGCATTTCCTATTTCTCATTTTTGTCATCTAATATTTTAATTGTTTGAGAGTTTTTTTTAAAATGAATCCTCAGTATTTTTAGTTGTGGTTTATTGATTTCCACTCACTTGTGAGATGACTCACTGATTATGTTTTTTTTATTTTTTTATCTGCTGCTTTTACTAAGCCCTGTATCCTCATCCTGTTCATCGATCCACCTCATATCATGCGGCACTAGCCTCTCGTGTTAGCCTCAGTCATGGCTCCCTGTAGCCTTTTTGACCCTCCCCTTTGTATTCTCTCTTTCTCCTCTACCTCCGTCTCTCTCCACCGTTCTCCTGCGCTCTCCTCTTTCTCTGCTTGTATCAGCACTCTTATCTTGTTATTATAACCCCACTCTATGGCAGCCCTCTAAAATGGCTGCTATCATGATGTACTGAGTTCTCCGTAATGGCCTTGGCTGTGCTGTGGTGCAGTGTAGCCTGGGGCCTTTTTCTGCCTTCTGTTCCAGGCTATTAAAGTTTCTTCTGACGGCATCAAAAGCCAACACTGGCTCCGGATGAATAAAAGATAATGAAATTCTTACATTATTAATTTTCTGCGGTGAATCATTTCAGCACACACACACACACAGATCTGGATGGTACACACGCATGCAGACACACACACACACACACAGGCCTCGCAATATGCTACAGCAAAACAGGAAATAATATCTATGTTCTTTGTTACACATGTGAAGTCATAGAAAATGCAGGTACCTGGGTTTGCTTTTAGATGCGGAGTTTGTAGCGGAGTCTACATAAAAAAGGACACGTGAGAATAAGAAGCATGTTACACAAAAGAGGTTTGTTCTCCTCAGATATTATCCTCCTGACGCGGCTGTCGTTTGGCTGCTGCAGGAAAGCGATGCCACTGTACCACAGGTCCTGTTTTAGAAAGCAGTCGTTATGAAATGAATATTTGATGAGGTATGCGCTCCCCACTGCTGGCACCTAATCTGATTTTGGAGCACTGTAACAAGGTTTTAGCGTCTCCACCCCTCCCTCGTTTTTTTATACAAATGGTTGTATGAAAGAGTAGTCCTAATGGAAAAAGTGAGCCTATTTCAAGGCGGAATAATTCGCTCCTTCGTAATCTAAATGGCTTAGAGTTGACATTTGTCAGTTGTCAAATTGAGACGGGGAGGGACGGGGGGGAGGAGGAGGGAGGGGTTGGCGCACTGTCTCTCCTGATTACAAAGGTAAGTGTGCCAGTTACTAATACACTAAAACTTGTCATAACACAAAAATTTTTTTTTTGGCCATGAAGGACATGTCTCGCTGCCTACTCAGCATGTGCACAGTGTTACAGTGTCATTTGTTATGGGAGCAGCAGTGTGGGTATGATTCAAGAGCACACCCTTACACTGTGACCTTGGTAGTAGAGGTGGAGCAGGAA